ATGGGGGTATTGTTGTACTCAGCAGATGTAGCTGAACACAAAATAAAGTTTTGTACAGGAATAGCACACACCAACTTTATGAAATACATATGAGAAGATCTTTGTTAGAGGTTTGTGTGTCAAAAAACACAATGTTACTCCAATATTTAGCCGAGATTGGCAGTGAAATGGCTATGTAAAAAGGGTCAAAATAATCTTAGGTAAACAGCCTGTGGTGTCTACTTTATATAAATATATACTTTTGTGTGGCAATTTTGTTTTCTTTTATGGCTATTAAGCTTACAAGACAAACAAACCAAATTCTAAAATCGCTCCATATTAAAAGTTTATTTTACTCCTTGTGTTTTGTGACCTGTAACTACCAAACAAAAGTGGTGCCCCATAGTAGTTAGGGTGCCGGGCGGCCAGAACAGCTCACACACGCAAAGAGCAGCTGAACTGGCTGCACGGAGGTAAAGTGGGGGTGGAGCTAATAAAACCTGGGGGGGGGTTGCCTGTAACTGTGTGTGACTATCTGTCTGTGACTGTGTGCATAGGACTGTCTGCTGCTGTCGTGTGTATGTGTCATGTATATGTGACTGTCTGCCTGTAAGTGTGTGCATGACTGTCTGTGACTGCATGTGTGACTGTCTACATGTGACTGTGTGCGTGTGACTGTCTGCCTGTAACTGTGTGTGACTGTATGCCTTTAACTGTGTATGTGACTGTCTGCCTGTACATGTGTGTGTGGGGCAGCAGGGATTTTGTAGAAGGGGGCAGGTGTTTTGTATTGGGACAGGAGTCTTTATAAGGGGGGATAAGCAGGGGATTTGTGGAAAGGGGTTGCAGGGTTTTTGTAGACGGGGGCAGTACAGGATTTGTAGAAGGGGCAGGACAGGGGTTTTGTAGGAGGGGCTGGGCAGGACAAGAGTTTTGTAGGAGGGGCTGACAGCGGTTTTGCAAAGTTTACAAATTGTAAAAAAAAAAAATTTAACATTTTTTACAGGTTTTCTTTTGGGGGTTGGGGGTTGGGGGCGGGGGGGGGCGAAGGGGTGCCAAGCACAGGATCTGCCCCGGGTGACAAATGCTATAGGTACGCCCCTGCCTAAGAGTGCTGGAAAACAAATATTAGGCATGCCTAACAGACTTGCACATGTGCAGTTGGAAGATCTCTTAACCTTGGGACATCTGACAGGGAGAGAAGAGAGGAAGTGTGATGAGTGTAATAATGCGAAGTAGGCTAGGGTGTAGGGCTTCTATCTTTTGCTGCTGCAGAAAGATGCCCAGTTTCTGTCATTAGTGAATTGGTCTAAAACTGAGCTGGGTGTGCTGAGAGGTGTGCCCAATAATGCAATATGACCAAGTTTATAGTAATTACATACTCTTCAAAGATGTCCATGCTTTATTTTTTTTTTTATATTAGCTTACAAGTGTTTGCTAGTTTAAAAAAAAATAATTGTCAAGTAATACATGTCCTATTAAGGGATTAAGCAAGCAAAATATGTAGACAAGAAAAGTATTTAATTAAGAAAGTTCAAAGGTAATCTGCTTATGTACAATGTCCATAAAAGAAACCCAAAAATAAATATTAACCACTTTATATCATAAAAAAAGAAAAATTTATGTAAAAAACAAAAGACCAGTACAAACACCATGAACCAAATGGGCTTCATTTTTAAAGCGTTTCTACAAAGTTACATCCAAATTTGTCCAAAGATAAATGTATTTATGCACAGGAAATGATCATTATCAGTATTGATGGATTGGTCCAGTATCCAAGACTTAAAGGACTTTCATGTTTGGAAAAACCATAAAGCAATAGCCATATAGCCTATAGAAGATAGTTAAATGTAAGTTTCAGATTACTGTAATAATGCATGATTTTTTGCTTGATATCATGGCATGGACAAAAGACTGGGTAGATTTTACTTTTAGTTCTATTTTTTTATTAGAGATGTATTCTAATAGCATTTGCTACTGGGAGGGTTTAGAAGTTCTGCTGCTGGCTATGAAGATATATCTTTCTCAGAAGACTAGACGGACGGATGGAAGGACAGACTGGCAGGTGGATAGATATAGATATATCATTCTTTTATATCTTGTATGTGCTAATTTGCCCTTCCGTGATAGCATTGAGTTTGAAATTTTCTTTTCTTTTTTTTTTTTTTGCATGTCATTAATGCTTAGCTTTCTCTCTTTTATCAACTTTAAAAAGGCCTAAGTATATTTTGGATGTTAAGATCTAAGACAAAATCTATTATGTGCCTTAGGTAATTAGCCTGCAGAGTGTCTCTGGTGTCCTATTAGAAGTGATTTCAGGTATATCTATTGTAGGGTCATATCTACAGCAATAATGCATACAGAATTGTGTAGTTTCATAATGATCTAGTTTTACTTCAGAAGAGAAAGGAAAAAGAATGATCAAAAGGACTATAAAAGGAGAATTGTTAATTATGTAAAAAAAGAGTGAAAGCCATAATTGGTCATTAGTTAGCTATGCAATATAAAGAAAATGCTAATTTATTTATACCAATAAAGCATTGATTTAATATTTTTCACATTACAAAAATGTAAACAAAATAATCTAAAATTATTGTTCCCATATTTAAAAACATTAATGTCTATAGTTATGAATAATTACCCATAGATATTACTCTTAACAATATTTGCTATGTTTTCTATTTTACAATTAAGGAATCAGTACAAATCTATACATCTGCAGTTTTGTTTTATTACCAATAATTAATCATTATTTTAAAAGAAAAAGCAGAATAAAACATTATTCACTGAAGGACCTTCTCCGATGCACAACAGATGCATGGACATATTATTGAGTATCCTTGAGAATATCTATGAAAGACCCAGCAGTCTTGTGGGATCTTCCATGAACTAAATGTTGTACTCTTGCACGTGTGTAAGAGTACACTATTGATATAGCTCTGTACCTTTAGGTGGTGAAGAGACATGTCGTTAGAGAAGTGGGATCCTTTGTGAACTAAATTTAATACTCTTGCACGTGTGTGAGAGTACACTATTGATACAGCTCCGTACCTCTAGGTGGTAAAGAGACATGTCGAACGAGAACATTGTGGCATCAAGGAAGTTGTTGTAGTTGTCACCCCAACTTCTCCCTGCTAAAATGGCAGACATACCACCCTGGGGATTTTCCCAAAAATACAAATAACCCACAACAATTCACAAGTGACAATGATGCTTTGTGTCACTGATTTTGCATATTTTATGGTTGCAGACTGATAGGACCACAAGTTGTACAGATTTTTTGTTTTCACCCTATGCAATAAAAATATGTGAAATAAGTTGTCTTTTGAGCAGATTTAATTTTCCTGGTTCTATCTCATTTCATTATAATTAATTCAGACAGTGTTTTTAGATGCATATCATGGTCCTCAGTGTCAGAGCACATGCAGGGTAGAAAGTAATTTTCTTGTGGTAAACAAGGAGAGAGGAGCTATGTTACTACAGATTAACTAGACATTTTCTAGAAATACATATAATTAATATTAGAAAATCTTGCTCACAGCTATAATCCACACATGTACATGCTAAAATATAGTGCAGGTCATTTCAATATTCAACCAGATATGGAAATATATTATTTGCGCATTAAATTACTCATTACTCCAGTAGATCTTTTTTTTTTCTTCCAACAGATTATGAAATGCCAATTTTTACAGAATTGCACATTGGAACACATTGTTTATATATTGCAAACAATAATGATTACTGTGTTTAGTGCGCTTATAAGAATAATAATGTGGTATACAAGCAGCTACACACTCTAGTGGGTGCTCTCTATCCCCCACTAAGATATGGAAGTAAAACACAGTGAGTCCAGTATGGACTGGATAAAAATCCAGACCGTACTAGTCAAGTGAGTGGAGCGCTGAACAATCACACTTACCCTTAATTAGGGTTCAATTTCAGATGTATATATGTACATGCAAATAAAACAGAGAAATACAACACAATATAGTGTAAATCCGTGAGTAGAAGAAATCTTGTGATAATATATCAATAGTCAAACTCACATGGATTAGAGCCTCATAAAAGGACAGGCTCAAATCTCTTCAGCATTAGTATCGTATGGAGACACTGCACCCTTTAACTGGAGTAAATTTCCTCAAAGAAAAAAGAGAAAAAACAAGGGAGGAAGACCTCCTAGTGTACTATGTATATAATAGGTAGTGCACAGACAGTGATTATGATAGTGCTCACCTGATTCAGAGCCAATGAGAACCTGGCTCTAGATGGTAGACTTGAGTGCCTTTAAAAGGGGGCACTTACCCTTCTTTTACAGCAAGATAGGACCAAAGGCCAATAGGGATATGTATAAAAAATAACAAATTTATTGTAAATATAAAAACAAAGTAAAATACTTATGCAAAAAGTAGCTGTAAAATCCCAAATCTGGCTTCAGCTCCGAGACGCGTTTCACCCACGCTATGTGGGCTTTCTCAATCGGGTTCACTGTGTCCAAACTCTTGCTGTTTAAATTTGCCGGTATTTTTCTTCCGGTAGGCGGGTCTTCACTTCCGTGATCCAATCAGATGGCTTCTTCTTGATGATGTGGAGCACCTCACCTGAAGTCCGTTCAGGCAATCGGAGTGGCGCGGTGTCATACCCCGCGTCACTTCCGTGTTCGCCGCGGCCATTTTCCTTATGGGTAATCACCCTAAATAGAAAACCGGAAGTGACGCGGCGGAATAAATCCGCTCGTCACTTTCGGAACAAACAAAGTCCTGGCAAATGCGGTACATTATGTCTTTGCCCACACTTCCTCAAAGAGGAAGGGAGGAAGCCTCCATCCTCAGTAGACAAAGGGCAATAATAGAAAAAAAGGGGGGAAGAAAAAGGGGGGAAGAAAAAGATAAATACATATAAATATGTTTATATATACATATACACATACATATAAAAAATATATGATATATATATATATATATATATATATATATATGATCTTTTTTTTTTTTCCAACAGATTATGAAATGCCAATTTTTACAGAATTGCACATCGGAACACATTGTTTATATATATCATATATTTTGTATATATAAACAATGTGTTCCAATGTGCAATTCTGTAAAAATTGGCATTTCAAAATCTGTTGGAAGAAAAAAAAAAAGATCATATATACCGGTATATATATATATATATATATATATCATATATTTTTTTATATGTATGTGTATATGTATATATAAACAATGTGTTCCAATGTACTTCAGTAGATCTTTTTTTTTCTTCCAACAGATTATGAATTGCCAATTTTTACAGAATTGCACATTGGAACACATTGTTTATATATACATATACACATACATATAAAAAATATATGATATATATATATATGATCTTTTTTTTTTCTTCCAACAGATTATGAAATGCCAATTTTTACAGAATTGCACATTGGAACACATTGTTTATATATATCATATATTTTGTATATGTATGTGTATATGTATATATAAACAATGTGTTCCAATGTGCAATTCTGTAAAAACTGGCATTTCAAAATCTGTTGGAAGAAAAAAAAAGATTATATATATATATATATATATATATATATATATATATCATATATTTTTTATATGTATGTGTATATGTATATATAAACAATGTGTTCCAATGTACTTCAGTAGATTTTTTTTTTTTCTTCCAACAGATTTTGAAATGCCAATTTTTACAGAATTGCACATTGGAACACATTGTTTATATATACATATACACATACATATAAAAAAAATATATGATATATATATATGATTTTGTATATGTATGTGTATATGTATATATAAACAATGTGTTCCAATGTGCAATTCTGTAAAAATTGGTATTTCAAAATATGTTGGAAGAAAAAAAAAAGATCTACATTGGAACACATTGTTTATATACACATATACACATACATATAAAAAATATCTCATATATTTTGTATATGTATGTGAATATGTATATATAAACAATGTGTTCCATTGTGCAATTCTGTAAAAATTGGCATTTCAAAATCTGTTGGAAGAAAAAAAAAAGATCTACTGGTGTAATGAGTAATTTAAAGCGGAAATAATATATTTCTATATCTGGTTGAGTCTGTTTAACACCTAGGAATACAAGCACCCTAAAAGCAAATTAGTAGACAGGTGATTGCAAGTTATCTAGCACAATACAAGCAATATTTGGGAATCAGCTGAGCATCTAAAAATAAAAAAAATAAACCAAACCACCAAGTGAAGTAAAGTATGGTACAACAAGAATTGCACTTTTCAGAATGCACTCAGAGTGTATCCATATAAACTGTGCCTTAGGGTGCCTCCCCTGGTATAGGCTGGGGCTAACACATTCTTTCGGTTCCTCCTACTGCGAATAGGATCCAAGGTAAATCAGAAGGCCAGGATTTCTTTCTCCAAGCTTCATGTAGCCCCATGGAGAAAAGTTCAGCTTAGCAGAGAGGGCCTTGACAGGGCTTGGAGGCAGGTTAAGGGGAGCCTGATGGTGATTGGGTGAGTATGGTTTAGGGGTTTAGGGGTCAGCCATTTTAGAAATCCCCATTACTAATTGGCTTACCAGACTGAGTTGGTCCCTCCCTCCCTTAAGGCGTGGGTTACGATTTTCCCATTTCATCACCGAGAGTAGTTAGTTGGCTGGTTAATATGGTTGGTTACCTGTTGGTAAAATGTTGGTGGGTTTTGAGCTTGTTGGTAGCTTAAAACCCGGGTGGTGTAGGGGTATCAAGGTATACCCATACCAGGATTATGTGGAATATGTTGAATCTTGTTTATGTTATATTTACATGATTGTAAACTATGTATACTATGCTATGTTATGTCATGGGTCATTGCCTTGTGAGTTTATATGTGGGGAAGTGATAATGTTGGATAGCTGAGGGCTTGGGGGTGGGCAATGACTTTAAGTTGTTTTTATTTATGTTAGTGTTATTTACATTATTATTATTATCATAATATTAACCCCTTGATGACCGATGACGGTTCAGGACCGTCATCGGAGAAATCTGCTTGGGGACCGATGACGGTCCTGAACCGTCATAACGGTCTGGGGCTACTTACCTGATCGCCGTCGGCCCCCCGGCGGCGATCAGCGCTCCTCCTGGTCCAGGGGGAATGCCTGTCTGCCCAGGCAGAAAATCCTAAAAATAAAATCCTAAAATAAAGTTAAAAAATAAAGCAATCATTTAAAAAAAAATGTATACATATGATATATACAAGTATTATATCTATATATAATATATGTATATATATCATATATATAATGTCATACTAAGTGTATTTTTATATTTATATATATGTATATTAATATAAAAATACACTTTTTAATTTGAATTACAAACGTATATTTACAATATATATAACAACTTTATATTGTATATATATTATTATAAATTATAAATATGTTAATAAAAATAAATAAAAAGTAAAAATATTTTTTAATAATTAAAAAAAATTATATATATATGTCATTTTATTCTAACAGTATTTTGATATTAATATATATATATATATTTATATCAAAATACACTTAGAATGTAATGATATATATATCTATGTATAAATAAATAAATGAAAATAATATGAAATATATATATGTCCATATACATAATTACATAAATAATTTCATAAATATACACGTAGACGTCAAATATATAAATATGTATATATATTAAAATTCTACGTGCGTATTTATGTACCGGTAATATTTTTAACTAATTAAGTAATTTTAATGATTGCAATTTGAGGGACCTGCCTGCCAACCCAGGCCGAAAGTCCAGAGAATTTAATTTGCTAGCACAGTGTTTAACCCTGTAACTTTCTATGACACCCTAAAACCTGTACATGGGGGGAACTGTTTTACTCGGGATGCTTTGCTGAACACAAATATTAGTGTTTCAAAACAGTAAAACATATCACAGCAATGATGTTGTCAGTGAAAGTGACTTTTTTTGCATTTTTCACACACAAACGGCATTTTCACTGATTATATTATTGCTGTGATACATTTTACTGTTCTGATCTGATACACTGTTCTGAGTATTACAGTACCCCACATGTAGAGGTTTTATAGTGTTTGTGAAAGTTACAGGGTCAAATATAAGACTTGATTTTACTTTTTTTTTTTTTTTTTATTGAAATTTGTCAGATTGGTTAGGTTGCCTTTGAGAGCATATGATAGCCCAGGAATGAGAATTAGCCCCATGATGGCATATCATTTGCAAAAGAAGACAACCCAAGATATTGCAAATGGGATATGTTCAGCCTTTTTTAGTAGCCACTTAGTCACAAACACTGGCCAAAGTTAGCGTTTTTTTAACACACAAACAAATATAAATGCTAACTTTGGCCAGTGTTTGTGACTAGGTGGCTACTAAAAAAGACTGGACATACCCCATTTTGAATACCCTGTGTTGTCTACTTTAAAAAAATATGTACATGTGAGGTGTGATTGGGGATTTACGACAGATAACGGTGTTACAATGTCACTATTGATAAAGTTAAAATATATATATATATTGAAACAGAAATTTCCTACTTGTATTTATAGGCGTATAACTTGCAAAAAAAAAAAGGACTAAAGCACGTAAACACTGGGTGTTTTTAAACTCGGGACAAAATTTTGAATATATTTAGCAGCTTTTTTTCATTAGATTTTGTAGATAAGTAAAAGATTTTTCAAGTAAAAGTCCAAAAATTTTTTTTTTTCAATTTTTCACTATATTTTTTTTTAAAATAAAATATATGACATGATACAAATAATGATATGTAAAGAAAGCCCTTCTTGTCCTGAAAAAAACAATATATAACTTGTATGGGAACCGTAAATGCGAGAGAGGAAAATTACAGCTAAACACAAACACCACAAAAGTGTCAAAACTGCTCTGCTCCTTAACATACAACATCACAAAAACAGGCTGGTCCTTAAGGGTTAAGATTAAAACTGTAGACATATTGACCCATACCTAAGAGTGTCAGTTTTTTATTGGGGGTGGGTTTGGTATAAGGCAGCTCCTCCTGCCCATATGGCGACAATGCACCTGTCAAGTAGATTTATTTGGTACAAGCACCCTAAAAGCAAATTAATACACAGGTGATTGCAAGTTATATTACTAGCTACCTAAAGGGGCATTAGACCCTCATATGAAAGTGAAAAACTCCATATTTCAAATCACACGTATATAAAAAAACAATCAGCACTATGTGGGAAGGCTGGACAGGTAAAACAAATCTTAAATATCTGAGTGTATATATGCTTGCATGTATCAGTATTATGTGTACGTGCATTTTTGTGTGTCTGCTCAAAGTGTCAACATGGCTATAATGGAAGGGTGATGTGGTATGGAAAATGTCATGATAATGTTGCAACATTTATAATATACATGGAGATTTATATATTCCTAGGGTGATGCTGGGTTTTTTAGGGCGTTCCATGATAAAGGCTCTGGCCCACTTTTAGTTTATATTGTTTTTTAACACTCTGAGAGCTGGTAACTCACACCAGCAGCTATCCTGCTTTTCTCTATTTTTTTGTTGCCATACAGACCTTTTAATAAAAAATAACTATAATGAAAGTCCCTCAAATAAGGCCATCCAACCTTAATATTTTTTACTCAGTTAACGTACCTGTACCCAAGAGAGTTGGTATTGATCTTCCCCTTGTTGACCAGTGGGTGCTGCTGGGATCACTGTGCTCTGTCTGCACAGCTCTCATGTGTGCCTTGTGGCTAGGGTGATGTCACTGAGCAGCCAGAGCAAATATAGATCACAGCTCCCTCATCACCACCCAACAGAAACTATACATTTGAGCCATTTGGGTCATGCGAGTAGACTAATACATAATTACTTTAGGTTTTGGTGTATTTGTAACCCCCTCATGTGGTGACATAATGTGATTACCTGGGATAATTTAGGCTAAAACCGTCTCGTTTTCCAATATTCCTGGGCTTGGTAGGACGGTCCCACTGTCAGAGTCCAACGCTTGTTTCCTGTATCCTGCATTTTGGAGCACCATGGAATTGACCCCAGTAAGTGCAGTGTGAGCACTCTGCACAGGACTTGGTGCAGCTGGCCATCATATC